CGCCTGGGCGCTGGCAGGAATTGGAAATAAATGAGGGCTGCAGATGAAACCATTTCTCTTCCCAGCCCACCCATCATTTATTTCCTCAGCCCCACTTTGCCAAAGCTGCTGTGTTTGAGACAAATTGTGTTTAATTAGGAGGAGGTGGAGACCTTTAGGCAACGCTCTTCAATCAAAGTGTCTCGAGGAACTAATCATGGAAATGCAAAGGCAAAAGGGCTGGGAGCTGTCCCCGCTGGTGACTGATTGTCAGAGGGGAGGGCTCCTGCTGCAAAAGCTCTCCTGGTTTAAACCTGTGCTAAACACACTCTGGAAAGGGTGTTTGTGGTGGGGGCATTTCACTGCTCTGTAAATATTGAGCTCATCTGAGTATGAAATGAAAAAAAATATAAAAACAGAGCGATTTTCAGTAAGTATTGATAAAAAAAAGTTACAACCCTAAAAAGCACAGTTATCTTTTTTTTATGGTCGATACTTAGGATGCAAGATGTTCAACCACACAAAGTAGTTTGCTGAAAATAATTCTTGGGGATGTTTAGGGTTGGTTTTAGTTTAAAATCAGGGATTTGGGGTGTGGCATCCAGTGGTCAGGGGGTCAGTACTGTTTCCAGGGCTGAGGATGGGAACAGTGCCTGGGTTTGCCAGGGAGGTGAGGATTTATTTTACCAGGGATGGAGGGACAGCACACAGGGAATGGCTCCCAGTGCCAGAGGGCAGGGCTGGATGGGACATTGGGAATTGGGAATTGTTCCTGGCAGGGTGGGATGGGATATTGGGAATTAGGAATTGTTCCTGGCAGGGTGGGCAGGCCCTGGCACAGGTGCCCAGAGCAGCTGTGGGTGCCCCTGGATCCCTGGCAGTGCCCCAGGCCAGGCTGGACACTGGGACACCCTGGGACAGTGGGAGGTGTCCCTGCCATGGCAGGGCTGGCACTGGGGGGCTCTGAGTTCCCTTCCAACCCAAACCCATTCTGGGATTTCATCACAGAAATAATGTGGAGCCCCTGGTGAAATCCGGGCAGGTTTAACCCCTGCAGTGGTTCCCAGTTTCTGGGAGCCTTCCAAGCTGCTCCTTGATGGCAGTTCTGGATTTTGCAGCACAGGACTTTCACCTGGCAGAGTGAGCCTTGCACAGTCCAGCTTTTAGGGAGATTCTCTGCAATCCTGACATTGTGAACCATTTTAACAACATTTAACTGTTCCATTGCAACCTGCATCGGGTTTGGTTTTCTCCTCAAATCTTTCCTTTGATTACCTGTTGTGTTTTCCCCTTTTTTTCCTCCTCAAAATGATGGTTGGACATGATGTTCTTAGTGCTTAATGATTCCATAATTCCATGGTTTGACTGTTCTGGCTGTGTACGGTTTTCCAGGCACAAGTTGCTTTGTCCTCCTGATTACAGTGGGAAGAACAGGAGAAGGGAAGAACAGGAATTCAGGGTTTTCCTGCCAGGCTCAAATTCCTGAGCCCATGAGGCAGGGAGGGGGGTTTGGGGCAGGGAAGGCCGAGGATTCTCAGTGAGGGGGAATGGAGCTTAATCACCCTCCTAAGCACAGCTTAACTTTTCAGTGGATTTCTCACAGAAACCAATTATAATGCCCAAGCCACAAAGAGCAGAGCACGAATCTGTTTCCTGTGTCCTGGCAGTGATTCCCGGCTGTTCCCCAGCTGATGGAATCCATTTATCCTGTTCCCAGGGGAACCCAGGGCTCCCAGCTGCTCCCAGCCCCTCCAGCAGGCAGCTCAGCCCAGCAGGGACCCCAGGGTGTCCCTGCAGCACTGGGGGCTCAGGGAGGGAGGGGACAGCCACCCCCAGGGCCTGGGCAGCTCCGGCTGCTGCTGCCAGGGGTGGGCTCAGGGAGGGAACTGATTGTGGAATTCATTGGGGAATGCATTGGGGAATTGGGGAATTCATTGGGGAATTGTGGAATTCATTGTGGAAATCATTGTGGAATTCATTGTGGAATTCATTGGGGAATGCATTGTGGAATTGTGGAATTCATTGGGGAATGCATTGGGGAATTGTGGAATTCATTGTGGAAATCATTGTGGAATTCATTGTGGAATTCATTATAGAATTGTGGAATTCATTGTGGAATTGTGGAATTCATTGTGGAATTCATTGTGGAATTCATTGTGGAAATCATTGTGGAATTCACTGGGGAATTCATTGGGGAATTGTGGAATTCATTGTTGGAAATCATTGTGGAATTCATTGTGGAATTGGGGAATTCATTGGGGAATTCATTGGGGAATTGTGGAAATCATTGTGGAATTCATTGTGGAATTCATTATGGAATTGTGGAATTCATTGGGGAATTCATTGTGGAATTCATTGGGGAATTCATGGTGGAATTGTGGAATTCATTGTGGAATTCACTGTGGAAATAATTGAGGAATTGTGAAATTAATTTTGGAATTGGTCTGGGCAGTTCCTGCTGCTGCCAAGGATGGGCTGCTGGAGGGAATTGATTGTGGAATTCATTGGGGAATTGTGGAATTCATTGTGGAATTCATTGTGGAATTCATTGAGGAATTGTGAAATTAATTGTGGAATTGTGGAATTCATTGTTGAATTCATTGTGGAATTCATTGTGAAATTCATTGTGAAATTCATTGTGGAATTCACTGTGGAATTCACTGTGGAATTGTGAAATCAATTGTGGAATTGTGGAATTCATTGCTGAATTCATTGTGGAATTCATTGTGGAATTCATTGTGGAATTCATTTTGGAATTCACTGTGGAATTAATTGAGGAACTGTGAAATTCATTGTGGAATTGTGGAACTGGGGGACTGTCAGCCCAGCCAGGACCTTCTGAGTCACATCCCTGACAAAAATCTCCAGCCCCCTCCCAACCCACTGGGCTGCATTGAGAAGGGGTCTCCACCTGCTTGAATCCTGTAAATCCTGGAACCAGGTGAGCTCAGGTCCCTCCTGAGCTTTCTTTTCCCATGGATGAACATCCCTGGTTCCCTCAGCCTTTGGTCACACACCCTGTCCAAAAAGGGAAGGTTTAGGTTCAAAACATTGTGCAAAAAGGGAAGGGTTTACTCTAAAACATTAACATCAAATTAATGTTTTAATTTAACATTAAAAAAGAAAAATCCAGACAATTACAAAGCACTTTCCACGCTGGACCCCCGCACCAAATTTCCTTGGGAGTTTAATTCCTCTTCCCTCCTTGTTTATTATCTTATTTCTCTGGCCTTCTGTTAATCCATTTTCTGAATAAATGTTTATTTGCTGCTTTATTTAATTTTTCCCCTGACCTTCACAGCTCCACGTGATCTGGATGGGAGGCAGGAGCTGCTGAAGTGGGGAGCAGCTCTGTGATGGGTTTAATGTGCACTCCAGGCTCAGCAGAGCAGATTTTAAATGCCAAATCTGCTCCTAGATCAGAGTCTTCGGAGGTGTGGGAAGAAATGTGGATGCAAAACAAACATTTTTTAATTCCTAATAAATATTAACATTCCATTGTGATGCTGCACACATATTGGAGACATAATTAATAAATTCCGCAGATTTTAGTGATCTGAATGTAATGATCCCTATCAGGCAGTAAATAGCAGAAAAATTAGCAGCATACTGATACAGCAGAAATCCTGATTTGTCTCAAACTGTGAGGCTCCAGAAATGCTGTGGGAGCCAATTTCCATGGCTGGCAGGACGATGTTCCTGGGAAATCTCTGCCAATAACAACACCCAGGGTTTGCCATCAGCCCCGGCTCAGGCTGCATCGCTCGTGTCATCTGACAGGATTACACTGTGCAGCAGGCCTGCAGCTCCCTGCTTGTCTGGGGGTTGTTCTAATTAATGGACCTCGCAGATTCATTCCTTTTCTAATTCTGTTTTGGAAATGCACCAGTGCTGTGACCTGCTCGGTGTCATTGTAACGAGACTTACAGACATCCTCAACGAGCTTTGATTTAATTTCCTCGCTGTAAAGCCCAGATTAAAGGAGAGCCCAGTCAATTAGGAATGGAACAAAGCTCGTACTTAAGAGGAAATCACTTAATCTGCACTCTGTAAATCTGGAAAATTCTCCACCTTCCACCATGTCACAGCTCCAATCTCCCCTCAGAAAGACTGGAGAGTTCCTGCTGAGAAGCCCCAGAATGCAGCAAAAGCCTGCACAGCTCTTGTGGGCCAGATCTTCGTGGCTTCAGCAAAACCTGTGGGGGGATTGGGGCTGGCACACAGCAAAACCAGGGAGAGAAAAGCCCCAGCTGGACAGCACTTGGGTTAGGGGAATGGACGAGCCCCAGAGCAAGAGGAAACAACACAATAAATGTGGTTTAGTCCTCTCTGCGAGCAGCTCGGATTCTCCAGGTGCACACAGAGTGGCTGGAACAGCATCATTAATTTTTAAAAGCACCAGAAAAACCCAATTTTGTCTCCTTCGCAAACCGCCAGGAGCAAGCTCAGCTTTCCCTTTAGTAGGAGCATCCGTCTTCCAGGAGCTCTGTGCACACACACAGGAAAATGCTGCCTGTGCTTGTGGGGTTTGGAACCAGGGCTGAGCTCCTGGGGGAGGTTCTGCAGGGTCCCTTGGGCCCTGTGTGTGCTGTGTCCCTGCTGGTGTGTGACCGTGTTCACTGGGGTTCCAGGATGAGGGAAGAGATGAGGATCTGACTCCATGGTTCACAAGGCTGATTTATTATTTTATGATATATATTATATTAAAACTATACTAAAAGAATAGAAGAAAGGATTTCATCAGAAGGCTGGCTAAGAATAGAATAGCAAAGAATGATAACAAAGGTTTGTGGCTCAGCTCTCTGTCTGAGCCAGCTGACTGTGATTGGCCATTAATTAGAAACAACCACATGAGCCCAATCCCAGATGCACCTGTTGCATCCCACAGCAGCAGATAACCATTGTTTGCATTTTGTTCCTGAGGCCTCTCAGCCTCTCAGGAGGAAAAGTCTTCAGGAAAGGATTTTCCATCAAAGGTGTCTGCGCCAGCCCCCCTGACAGCCCTGTCCCTGTCGTTGCAGTCTCTCCCAAGATATTCCGGATCTCCAGCGACATCGTGGTGAACGAGGGCAGCAACGTCACCCTGGTGTGCCTGGCCACGGGGAAACCAGAGCCCTCCATCTCCTGGAGACACATCTCCCCCTCTGGTGAGTGCCTGGGGACAGCACAGGGGCAGCAGCAGCACTGGGGCTGTGCCAGCCCTGGGCCCTGAGTGAGGCTGGGCTGGGGGTGCCTTGGGGGGCTCCTGGAGCAGGGCTGGGCAGAGCTACAGGAACAAAGTACAGGGCATTTATTAAAGGCATTCACAGGGTGCACCTTGGGCACTGCAAGAGCCTGGCCAGGGCTCTACACCAAGATGGACCCTGAGTCACAAGTTATGGCACTTTTATAAGTTTGGGTCCAGTTCCATGTTGGGGTTCATTGTCCAATTCCAGCTCCAGGTTCTGCAGTCCCACCCTCCCAGGCTGCTCTCCTCAATTCTCTGCTGTTTGCACTTTTTGGGGCTGAAGCTGCAATGCTGTCCTTGGTTCTGGGCTGGAAAGGGATTGTTCTGTGTGCCTGAGGAGAGGGAAGGATTGTTCTGTGTGCCTGAGGAGAGGGAAAGGATTGTTCTGTGTGCCTGGGGAGAGGAAAGGATTGTTCTGTGTGCCTGAGGAGAGGACAAGGATTGTTCTGTGTGCCTGAGCTGCGAGGAGAGCTGCTGACACTTTATAAGGATTTCAGAGTTGTGCACCAATGCAGTGCAGAGCCTGGGAAATGTGAAAGCTCAAACTTCAGGCATCACCATAACACAGGGATGAGGGCAGAGCTCCCTAAATATGGATGTATGTCCCTGCATGTGTTGTAATCTCAGTCATGGATCAACCAATTCCAGTTGAAATCCAAGCAAGGATGGAATGAGGAGCACAAGGCGCTCCCTAGAAATGGGAAATGAGAGTTAAACACAGGAACAGGCCATGCAGTAGGTTTGGTTTATTCTCATTTCTTCCACTGCTACAGGGTGGCATTTTTGGGGTGTCAGGGTTGGGATTTATGGTCCTGGTGGGTCCCTCCCTCAGGATATTCCAGGATTCCTCACCACTGAACCATTTCTCCACGATTCAGCTTATCAGAATGGTTTTGCTGCACGAATTCAATGATGTGTGTGAAAATTTGTTAAAAAAATGGCAACAGAAAGCATCCCTGCTGTTGGATATTTCCGTGTATCCCTTTGGTTCCTCAAAGCACATTGCAAGGAAAGGTTTTGGCCAATGTCAGGGCCACTGCAGCTGCTCCCAGTGAGCAAAGCAGGGGCTCTGGGGAGATGCCTGCTCTGGAAATGAGGATTTTGTGCTCCCCAGCTCTGCCCCAGGCACTGCCTCTGTCACTGGGACTCTGCAGTCAGAGCTGGCTGTGCAGAGAGGGATTGCTCTGCTCCCCCAGCCTGTACACAATCCTGTAATTACAGACCAGAAGGGTTCCGTGGGCTGCCACAGCCTCTCATCATCCCCAGGAACAGTTGGCTTTACAAAGCAAGATCTGGGAAAAAACCCTCACTTCTGACCTTTAAAACAATGACAACGAATTCGGCCTGAAGTGTCCATCAAGGGACTAGAGGAAAAATTCAGTTGTAGCAGAAAATGGATTTTAACTAAATGTCAAATAAAATTTTATTGGAAGCCCTGGTGATACTTTGGATTAATGGCTTAAAGCGTTTGAGTGGCTGCAGAAAGGAGCTGGGGTGCTGCTCCTGGAGAGGGAGGAGGAGAAAAGGAGAATTATTGCACTCAGGCTGCAGCAGGGGCTGAGGGGAGCAGAGCATCCTCATCTGGAGTCCAGGCAAAATGCAGAGGTGGCACCTGGGGACACGGCCAGGGGTGGACCCAGGGGCTCAGAGGGACTTCCCAACACAAATGAATCTGTGGAAATTAATGCAGGGAGTCAGAAGGGCCTTCAGTGACCCCCCTGGATGTGCTCCTTGCTCCCAGCCCCATCCATCCAACCCCACCCTGGACACTTCCATCATCCCAGATCGGGGATTCTGTGCCCTGGGGATCCACAGACACAGCAGGGTCAGAGAGGGAGAGCACAGGCTGCAAAGGGCCCAAAAATCCTGTCAGATGTGAAGGGAGCAAGCCCAGTGCTTACTGTAAATCAAAGTGACTCTGATGAAGGGGAAAGAGTGATGAGGAGGACTCCATGGGTATCAGAAGGTTAATTAATTACTTTATTATACTATATTATATACATTTCATCCGGACTGGATCTGCCCAGCACTCGCTCTGCACACACTGCTCACACTGCCCAGAATCTCATGGCTTCAGTGACAGTCCTGACACACACACACACACACACACACACACACACTCTCCTGCTCCTGATGGCCAAGGAAACAGAACACCATCCCATGGATAAACAACCTCCATGTTGCATTCTGCTTTGGCACAACACAGGCACAGCAGCAAGCGGTAAGAATCGTGTTTTCCCTCTCTCTGAGGCTCAGAGAAGGTGAATCTCAGGAATCCTCGGGAAGAGCTGTGCCTTGCTTGTCCCTGTGAAGAGGAGCGTGGCCGCGAGCGCTGGCAGGGGCAGCCGTGTGCCCCAGAGGAGGCTCAGTGCCCAGGCACACGGGCACAGGTGCACCACAGCCCTCCCAGCACACCCAGGGAGGCAGAGAGCCTTGGTATTCTGCCTGCAGCTCCTCTCCTGCCTCAGCCTCGGCTGCACTCGCTAATTCCTGCCCGTTCTGGCTCTAATTCCCAGCGGCACTAATGAGGCTCCCGGGCAGGCAGCGCATCTCCCATCCAGCACTAAATTATATTAACCAAGCATATTTAGAATATTCTCAAATTGTTTGTCAAAGCTGCTGCTAAAAGATAAGGAACTGAAATCTCTGAATACAAATGACTCAATGTAGACTAATTCCAGGATATGATCATGATTTACATCAACACAGCCTCGACTCGCATGAGGTCGGATTCAATTTTTCTGAACAAGAGATAAATTGAACCTTTCGTAGGAATAAAAATAAAATGCATTTCAAGGTGATTTTTAAACTTACTCCGTAAATTATTGGCCCGGAATCTTTATTGTGCGTGTTTAACTTGCAGTCATTATGTAAATGCTCTCGTTCTATAAATATTCATTACACGGCCCCATTATGTAAATCCAGCAAATCTCCCCACTCAGCGTAACAGCGTCGGGCTGCGGGTTGTAATCTCCAAATCTGTATTGTTGAAATGTCACCCGAATAAATTGCAGGTATTACTTATTTTGTTCTGACATTTCCCAGCAAAGTGCAGCATCGATAGTTTGGGAATGAAGGCAGAATGTTAAAGGATGAAGTTCTGCCAGGGCACAGCTTTAGCTCTGCTGTGTCCCACCAATGCCTGGGCAAAGCTCTGCGGGCAGCAGCAGCAACTGACACCCAGAAATCTCCTGATAAATGATCCTCCTTGCCAAAATTCAGGTGCTGTGCTGTAGGGGGATACAACATAAGAAAATAGAGATAATATAGAAAGTAATCTTACCCCATTAAGGAGTTGCAGCTGAGCCAAGTATTAGAGATTGGGAGCAGGCCTGATTTTAACAGGCCACACCGGCAGTCAATAAGAAGAGTGTTTTAAAAGAGTGGCTTGGTTGGTTGAGGGGAGTTGGATCCATTGGCTGCTGTGAGGACAAGGAAGAGTCAGTGCCCAGAGGAGCTGCCTACAAGAAACCTCAAGGAGGCATGAAACTCTATCAATGTGGAACCCTTGCAATGCAATGACAATAGAACTCTGGCACTACAATGACAGCACCGTGCATCAAAACCCTTCTCCACTTTGGTTTTGGCAGAAGTTTCTCATGGGGAGCTTCCCCAGCTGGGGAAGGAGGGGATGCTCAAGGGAGGCAGGGACAGCACAGGGCAGTGGAGTTAAGGGGAAGGAGGGTCAGGCCCTGGCATGGAATTCTTTCCTGCAAGGCCCTGAGTGCCCAGAGCAGCTGGGGCTGCCCCTGGATCCCTGGCAGTGCCCAAGGCCAGGCTGGACACTGGGGCTGGAGCACCTGGGACAGTGGGAGGGGTCCCTGCCATGGAACAGCAGAGTGAAATGGGATTTAGGATCCCTTCCAACCCAGAGCATTCCAGGATTCTGGGATTCCTGCTTACTTCTAGCTTTGTATTTTCCAGTTCTTCCCTGCTCTCTTTCCTTTTTCTCACAGTTTAATCTCCATCACTCCTGGTCAGCAATTTTCCCAGAGCAGGAGGATGAGTGGGTGTAGGGATGGGCCTGCATTTGGAGGAGCAGGGTTCCAGACACTGTGGATCAAGGCAGATTTTCCCATGTGGAATGCAAGGCAGGTCCTTGGCACCCCGGTGTTCATTCTGTCCGTTCTGCAGAGCACTGCTGTTCTTTGAGGGAGGGATTGAGCAAAGCCTCCCTAAACCCTGAGCAGCAAACCCAGACCTGGCAGAGCCTGGGCTCCCCCTGCCCCTGACAGAGAGGAGAAGGGCTCTGCTGGAGTGCCAGTGCTTCAAACCTGCGTTTCCAGGCTGCAAATCCTCAACTGACAGGAATTATTATCGGATTTCCAGGGCTTTGCCTGTGTACAAAGGGCCAACCCTTCAAATGCTCCCTCTCCTGCTCACAGATGGCTTTAAAGCTGGAAGTTTTAGAAAGGAGTTTCTGGCTTGTTTCCTTTTCCTTGCTGGCTCCCGAGCAGGGAGCAGGTATTGCTGGGGAGGATGTTGCTGTTGTTCTCCCCCAGAGCAGAGCAATTGTGCACTGTGGATCTCTGAGCAGAGAGGAGCTGCTCTGCCCCTGCCTCCCCTCCACACCGAGGGGCTGCTCCAGGATTGCCCTTGCTGTGGGCAGGATCTCAAACTGCACTTTCCTGACCCTGCAGCTCCAGCTCAATTGGCTCCACAGCCTGGCAGTGACCCCCTTGCCCAGGCTGCTTTGGCACAGAGAGCTCAAACCCAGGGACTGTTCTCTCCTGGGCCAGGAATCCTGCAATGGTCTGGGTTGGGACCTCAGAGCCCACCCAGTGCCACGGGCAGGGACACCTCCCACTGTCCCAGGAGCTCCAAGCCCTTCCAGCCTGGCCTGGGACACTGCCAGGGAGCCAGGAGCAGCCCCAGCTCCTGAGGAAGGCTCCTTTGTGTAGCCATGATATTTTCTGAAAAATCCTTTCCTTAGGATTTTCCCTCCTGAGAAGCTGAGAGGCCTCAGGGACAAAATGCCAACATTGATTATCTGCTGCTGTGGAATGCAACAGGTGCATCTGGGATTGGGCTCATGTGGTTGTTTCTAATTAATGGCCAATCATAGCCCAGCTGGCTTGGACTGTCTCGGTCAGTCACAAACCTTTGTTATTCATTCTTTTTCTATTCTTAGCCAGCCTTCTGATGAGATCCTTTCTTCTATTCCTTTAGTATAGCTTTAATATAATATATATCATAAAATAATAAATCAGCCTTCTGAACCATGGAGTCAGAGCCTCATCTCTTCCCTCATCCTGGGACCCCTGTGAGCACCATCACACCCCTTTGGAGGAAGCTCTGGTCAGCTGGATGGATGGATGGTCAGATGGACCAGATGGATGAGCAGTGTTCCCTGGAGAACCCCCAAATCCTGCATTCCCTGGGGCGTGGGATGGCTCAGGTGGCCTTGGCTCCCCCACCAGCCCTTCCTGAGAGCAGTGACATTCATGGGGCACTGCTGAGGGCCTGCCTGGCTCAGTCCTGCAGCCTCTCAGGGAGCTGAGGGCTTTTATGAGTGTTTGATAAGAATTTCATGGCCCGCTGGTCATCCTGGAGGGATTGTTCAGCTGGTAAAGGCATAGCTTGTCATTAAATCAATGGTGCCTGCTATCAAACACGGGGATTAATTAACAGTTTAAAGACAGAGGAGCACCCAGTGGACATGGCTGGGTGGCCAAAACGGCCTCCCAAGCCACAGCTCTGTGTGAGAAAGGCCAGGTCCTCTGGGTTCAGTTCTGGGGATTTTGGCCTTTTCTTTTTAACAGGACTTGTAGTACCAGCCTCGGGAGGGTTGGTATCAGGCTCCAATTTAGTGACATCCAGTGCCAGCAGCCGCTGCTCCGGGGGAGGTGACACTGCCCTGCAGCTGGGGCTCCCTGAGGGACACTCCTCAGAAAGGGACATTTCTACCAGGACCATTGCAGGCCTCTGAGCATCCCTTCAGGAACAACTAAAGGCATTCCTGGAAATCCTCAGGCCTTCCTAAAATCCTTTAAAGAATTCTCTTTAAAATACACTTGTCAGGAGAAGAATGCTCCAGCTAAGATGGTCAAATAATTGGGGCTTTGTGAAGGAACTGAGGGACAAGAGTGGGATCAAAATCTTTGTGAGATACAAACTGAAACTGCCCAAAAGCACGGCGCAGAAATGAGCAGGATCTTTTTCTTTTTGACAATTTTATGATAAATGGGAAGCATTTCTTACTTTTCAATAAAAGTAGATGAACTCATTAATAACTCATAGAATGCAATGAAAATGAGAGTTTTAAATGCAGGCTGAGCTTATTCCCACAGATATCAGTTCATTTTTACCTGAGAAATGCTGCACTTTTGAACGAGCAGCGTGTGGATCTCAGGAGACACGTCAGAGCTTCAATTATCAGAGCCAGCCCAACGCTTCCCCCTCTTTCCAGAGCCAGCCAAGCCCAGGCTTGTGCAGAGGCACCAATAACTCACCCCTTGATGGCCAGGCCATAACAGCTCTGCCTCATCCCCACTGCCCTCGTGGGTTTTTCCCAGAGCTCCCAAAGGCACAGTTATTAACAGCCAATTAAAGGCTTTCAGGCTGGGAAAACACTTCCAGCAAGGCTTTTAAACCCTTAGACCTATAATTTCCAGCACCTGTGGTGGCGGCTGCTGTGAGAGGCTGCGCTGCAGTAATGGTGGCACTGAACTTCTTGGGGTTTGTGATGTGGTGAGGAACCCAAACCCATTAACTGGCCATGGAGAGGCTGGGAGCACAGCTGGGAGCAGGAGCAGCTCCAGGTGAGGGACACCAAACACTCCCTGCCAGGTGGGAACAGCAGGGGAGGGCTGAGAGGGGCTGGGGAGCGCCTGTGCCCCGTGTTGGGGGGGACAGATGGGTTCTGGGACAACTCCTGATGGGCTCCAGTGTTCCTGGGACAATTCCTGATGGGCTCCAGTGTTCTGGAACAATTCCTGATGGGTTCCAGTGTTCCTGGAGCTGGGTCGGTTTTCTGGAACAATTCCTGATGGGCTCCAGTGTTGTGGAACAATTCCTGATGGGCTCCAGTGTTCCTGAAGCTGGGCCAGTGTTCCTGGAACAATTCCTGATGGGCTCCAGTGTTCCTAGAGCTGGGCCAGTGTTCCTGGGACAATTCCTGATGGGCTCCAGTGTTCCTGGAACAATTCCTGATGGGCTCCAGTGTTCCTGGGACAATTCCTGATGGGCTCCAGTGTTCCTGGGACAGTTCCTGATGGGCTCCAGTGTTCCTGGGACAGTTCCTGATGGGCTCCAGTGTTCCTGGAGCTGGGTCAGTGTCCCTGGGACAATTCCTGATGGGCTCCAGTGTTCCTGGAGCTGGGTCAGTGTTCCTGGGACAATTCCTGATGGGCTCCAGTGTTCCTGGGACAATTCCTGATGGGCTCCAGTGTTCTGGGACAATTCCTGATGGGTTCCAGTGTTCCTGGAGCTGGGTCAGTGTTCCTGGAGCTGGGCCAGTGTTCCTGGGACAGTTCCTGATAGGTTCCAATGTTCCTGGAGCTGGGTCAGTGTTCCTGGGACAATTCCTGATGGGTTGCAGCTGAGCTGGGCCAGTGTTCCTGGCTGGGAACAATTCCCAGTGGGTTCCAGGGCATGGAGCAGGCACAGACACCGATGTTTCTGTTTGGCTCTCTGTCCTGTCCCAGCACAGGGAGATCTCTGCCTGTCCTGGGAATCACTCAGGGACTGTCCTTATTCCTGTGTGACACCCAGATCCCATTCCTCTGGGTCCTGTGGCCAAGGAGAGCTGTTAATGATTGGATCCAGTTAATTATTGGCTGGGATCAGCTGCTCCAGCAGTGGCACTTGTCCCTGCAGCTGGCCCTGGGCTGGCTTTGCTCCACCCTGCAGGGCAGGCTGGGCTCTGCAAAGCATCAGCACTCAGGGGTGCTGAGCTCTGAAGGCAGGAACAGGGCAGTGCTGGGCTGCTTTGGGCTGGAGGGCATTGACAGCTCATCTTGTCCACCCTGCCATGGCAGGGACCCCTTCCCCTGTGCCAGGGTGCTCCAGCCTGGCCTGGGACACTGCTGGCAGCCAGCTCTGTTCCATGACGTCCATTGGGTACAAATTACCCGGGTGTATCTCAGAGCTGCTGAGTTTCTCTGTGGAGCTGGGTCAGGAGAGAACCTCTGGCCAGCTCCAGGAGTTTGGGGGTGTCACCTCCCCTCAGAGCTGGGGCTGCTGCATGGAGCTGCAGTGGCTGGGTGTGTTAAACTCCAGCTGCTGTGCAGATGTTGGGTTTCAGGAGCTGTGTGGGGCTGCAGTGGCTGGGCGTGTTAAACTCCAGCTGCTGTGCAGATGTTGGGTTTCAGGAGCTGTGTGGAGCTGCAGTGGCTGGGCATGTTAAACTCCAGCTGCTGTGCAGATGTTGGGTTTCAGGAGCTGCAATGGAGCTGCAGTGGCTGGGCATGTTAAACTCCAGCTGCTGTGCAGATGTTGGGTTTCAGGAGTTGTGTGGGGCTGCAGTGGCTGGGCGTGTTAAACTCCAGCTGCTGTGCAGATGTTGGGTTTCAGGAGCTGCAGTGGAGCTGCAATGGAGCTGCAGTGGCTGGGCGTGTTAAACTCCAGCTGCTGTGCAGATGTTGGGTTTCAGGAGCTGTGTGGAGCTGCAATGGAGCTGTAGTGGTTGGGCATGTTAAACTCCAGCTGCTGTGGAGATGTTGGGATTCAGGAGCTGCAATGGAGCTGCAGTGGCTGGGTGTGTTAAACCCCAGCTGCTGTGCAGGTGTTGGGTTTCAGGAGCTGTGTGCTCGGCCTGCTGTAATTTCCTCCTGTGGTTATTTCATTGCAGCCAAGCCCTTTGAGAGTGGGCAGTACCTGGACATCTATGGGATCACCAGGGACCAGGCTGGGGAGTACGAGTGCAGTGCAGAGAACGACGTCTCGGTGCCGGACGTGAAGAAAGTCAAGGTCACAGTGAACTGTAAGTGCCCTTATTTGTTATTGCCTTGGTGTGGTGGAGAAGGAGAGTCTGCAGCAGCAGCAGACTGCAGGAGCTGCTGCCTTGGTCGCAGTGGCTGAGGGGGCTGTGCTCTGTGTCACCAAGAGAGTTTGAGGTGCAGGCTGTCATTCTGGGTGATGATCTGAGCAGCTGCTGGTGCCTGCTCTGGATGCTGGCCTGAGCCCTTCCTGGTTTCTCTTGTCGTGGTGGTGCTGGAAGTGATGTGAGGAGATGAGAGGCTCTGCTTGGGTCCCTGGATGGGGCCTGATCTCCATGGAGTGTGAGCTGCTCCCCGAGGAGGGACAGAGGGACACTGCTGTGGGGACCCTGCAGGGTGCTGGTGACACCTGCAGCTCTGACCTGCTGGGATCTCCACACCAGGGAGGTGCTCTCAGCTTGGCCCTGAGTCTGATCTAGCACTCAGCGTGATGTGAAATGTTCTTTTTCCCTCCAACATGTGAGAAAACTCAGGCACAACGATGTGAATAATTTCTCTTGTTTGTTCTAACAGTTTTCTTTGGTTAACCTCAATTACCCAGCGTGTGATTTGTTTCTGGTTTTGGAGTTGCTGTGGCAGCTTTATTGGTCACAAATATGAGATGTCAGCATTGTGTCTCCCCCAGAGGCCTTGTCCCAGCTGCTCTGGGAGCAAATCCCCTCATGCCCTGTCACTGTGGGGCCACTGCTGTCACCTGGGGCATTCCCTGCTGCCCAGACCGCTCTTGTTCATGGGGCCAGGGCTCCTGGGGCACAGGGGACAGTGCAGGGGCCCTTCATTTCCATAAAACTGGTAACAGCAAGGCTTCCTCCCCAGAAATTCCATCCTTTTGTTTGGTGTCTGTGGATGTGGGTGGGTGGTGGCTTTGGCAGTGCTGGGGGAAGCTTGGGCTTGATGTCTTGGAAAGCTTTTCCAACCTAAATGATTCTGTGGGTTCTCTTCCACTGCTGCTGCTGCTCTCACCCACTCCTGGTGCCATTCTGTGAATGTATTCTTGGTGCCAGTCCATGGCTGTGCTCCTGGTGCCATTCCATGGTGGCTGTGCTCCTGGTGCCAGTCCATGGCTGTGCTCCTGGTGCCATTCCATGGTGGCTGTATTCCTGGTGCCATTCCATGATAGTGCTCCTGGTGGAGCATTCCACGGTGGCTCCACTCCTGGTGCCATTCCATGGCTGTGCTCCTGGTGCCATTCCATGGTGGCTGTGCTCCTGGTGCCATTCCATGGTGGCTGTGCTCCTGGTGCCATCCCATGGTGGCTGTGCTCCTGGTGCCATCCCATGGCTGTGCTCCTGGTGCCATCCCATGGCTGTGCTCCTGGTGCCATTCCATGGCTGTGCTCCTGGTGGAGCATTCCATGGTGGCTGTATTCCTGGTGCCATTCCATGGCTGTGCTCCTGGTGCCAGTCCATGGTGGTGCTCCTGGTGCCATTCCATGGTGGCTGTGCTCCTGGTGCCATTCCATGGCTCCACTCCTGGTGCCATTCCATGGCTCCACTCCTGGTGCCATTCCATGGTGGCTGTATTCCTGGTGCCATTCCATGGCTGTGCTCCTGGTGCCAGTCCAGGGCTCCACTCCTGGTGCAGGGAGGCATTGGCACCTGGATATTCATGGCATGGAGAGGCTGTTCAGTCACCCAGGCAGGGACAGAAAATGCCCAGGTTTAAATGACTCTGTGAAATTCAGGTTTGTGGTCTGGGCAGCTTCCAGCCCTGCACAAACACAGAGCTCCTGGCACACGTGGTGGCTCTAATGACTTACAGGGGGTTCATTACACTGCTTGATACACCAGCAGCTGCATTTTCTACTCAATTTGTGCCTGTCCTCCCTAATTTCCCTTGGAAAAAGGGTGGCCTGAGAATCTGCCTGAATCCCAAAAGGCTGGGGGGGCAGGAGACGAGAGGAGCCATTGAAGCTGCTGGTTGGTGCTGAAGGAATGCTCCACCAAATCAAGTTAAAATAGATAAGATGTAATCCAATTTCATTTCACAAGTAAATCCTATTAGCATTTTCCGTTACATTTTGCAAAGCAAATACTGATTTATAGATTATAATATTGAACCCTGCTTGGAATGAACCAGTGTCTGGATTTCATGTGTCATCTGAAAGCTGGTCTGAAACTCTCCAGGTGCTACTGTCACTTTGCTCATTCTCTCCTGCTCTATTACTGTCATGCTTGAAAAATATTAAAGGCAGCTGCTGAATCCTAGAATTTCCAGTAGAGCTGAGGCCACGGCGAGGGGATGAGGAATGGGATGTGTGCCTCAGGAAACTGGCATTTATTTGCATTTGTTTCAAAGTGTCAGCTGTCTAAATAAATAGAAAATGTGGGTTTATAGTGGAGTGGCATTGCAGAATTCCCTTTTGTTAGGATAATCCACATTAAGGTCAGTTTGCCTGTAATTTTACCTTGGACAGCTCTGTTGCAGCTGGAGCTGTCAGACTTCACTGAATCAAGATCCGCTGGCTCTGGGAAGGGAAAGGGCATTTTTGAACTCATTGCTGGGTGGTTTTGTCCAGTTTCCAGGGTACCTTTTCCATTCCCCTGGATGGTTTTGGGGTCCTCAGCTCTGGCAGTGTGTCCCTGAGCCCTGCCCAGCAGAGCAGGTGGGAGCAGAGCAGGAGCAGGGCTGGCACTCTGAGCCCAGCTGGGCTGCCCCAGCCCTTTCCTGGGAGCCTGCTGGCCAAGCTGCTCTCCTCTCGCTGGGGCAGGTGCTCTGACTCCTCTGCCACAGCATTCCAGGGCTGTGCAGACACAGGGCCTGCCTGGGACAGCCTCCCCCAGGCCGTGCTGCCTGCCCAGGACTCACACTGCAGCCCTGCATTTGCCTAATGCAGCCTTTTAGGAAGCTTCTGAAGCTCATTAGGCTGCTTTAGCTCCAATCAGTTTGGTTTATCCAGGTGTTCACTGCATTGTTCTTTCCTTGTCCTAACCCGGGACACAAAGCCAAGGACTGGGGTCACTGGGTTGGTGAAATCTTGTGTTTGGAATGATTGTGTCCCAGAGCTTGGAAACGCTCTCAGGAAAAGGGTGACCCGTGGGGGTGTCCTGTGCAGGGCTCAGGGCTGGACCATGGTCCTCATGGATCCCCCAGCTCAGCAGATTCTGTGATTTAACCCTTTTATGCACGTGCTTTGTGTCCTTCAATCATCTCAGTTTGGGTTCTGGGAGCTTCATTCCCAACCTCATCGGGTTTTCCTGTGCCTCAGGAGGCTGGGGCTGTGTGCTGGGAGCAGCTTCCACATTCCCTGGGACCTGGGGGGGCATCCCAGCCCTTCCAGGAGCTCTCAGCCAGCCCAGTGGGGTTTGGGGGCCTGTTCCAGAGGCAGGTCCTGTGCCCTCCCTGCTGGGTGCTTGGATTGATCAGGGATTTCTCTGAGGTGCTTTGATCAATCAGGGATTTCTCTGAGGTGCTTTGATCAATCAGGGATTTCTCTGGGATGCTTTGATCGATCAGGGATTTCTCTGGGGTGCTTTGATTGATCAGGGATTTCTCTGGGGTTCTTTGATCGATCAGGAATTTCTCTGGGATGCTTTGATTGATCAGGAATTTCTCTGGGGTGCTTGGATTGATCAGGGATTTCTCTGGGGTGCTTGGATTGATCAGGGATTTCTCTGGGGTGCTTTGATCGATCAGGGATTTCTCTGGGATGCTTTGATTGATCAGGGATTTCTCTGGGATGCTTTGATGAGGCATTTCTGGCAGTGGGGTTTTTCTGGTGCAGGGATGTGTGAGTTCTTGTCAGGAATTTTAAGTGGGGTGTTTGTTTTCGCTTGGCCAGGCCGGGCTGTGCTGAACAGCTCCCCTCATTAGCATTTCTCCCCTCATTAGCATTTCTCCCCTCATTAGCATTTCTTCGAAGGCTCCTCGCTGTTGCTATGGTGCTTTGCATAACATTATGGATAATGCTGCGATTTTACTTTGAAATCAGACATCCTGTACAAGCCACGCCGGCCTAATTAAATCTGTAACCTTAAATCTCCTGGGGAAAAACACAGCAGGGCTTGGGGGCTTGCTGGGCTGCCAGTCCCTTGGACGTGTCACTGAGCCTTTTCCCAGGAGCTGTGCCCCATTCCTGGCCTAGCATCCGCATTTCCTGGGCAAGGTCTTGAGTTTGGAATCAAGCAGGAAAATTGCCTCGGTTATTATTAAGTATGAAGGCAAAGCCCACATATTTTCTGGAGGTCTCAGTCCTCCTCTGCTTTGGCACCAAGTATAAAATTGCTCAGAGCAATTTGATTTTAATTTCCATTTTCCTCTAATAAAAGAGAGGGGAGGAGGGGGCTTTTCTCGAAGCAGAAACCAAGAACTCTGATTCTTTCTGGCTTTAATGGCTCCTGATTTGCTGCTCCGTGTTTATATCCCTAACTTTGGGATTTGGGGTTAGGGGCAGCCCTGGCTTTAGGAGCCAAGCTTCACTGCCAGGGGTTCTGCTGCTTCCCCAGGTGTCAGGTGGCATTCCAGAGGGGACTGTGGCACTGGGGGCACTGGGGACTGCTGGCACTGTGCTCCTGGCTCCTGCTTGGTGCTCTCCATGGAGCAGAGCAGGGGGGTTCAGTGCCCAGTGGGGTGTGCAGGACGTGCCCTGCTCTGGGCTGTGTGGGTGGTGCTGGTGCTGCTGGGCACATCCCCAGGCACCAGCCCATGCCAGCTGTGCCAGCTGTGCCAGGGCACGGCCCCAGCCTGCCCCGTGTGCTCTGGTGAGCTGTGGGAAGGCAGCTGAGAGGGCTGGCCCCTTGGTTTGGGGTTCCTGTCCCAGCTGCTGCCACTGTGGGCAGTGCAGTGCCCTCCCCTCTGCTCTTCCCACCCAAAAACAGCTGCAGGAGAGCACAGCTGGAGCTGGGCTGCTGCTCTGAGTGGGGACAAGGGTGCTGCTCCCTGACACGTGCTGGGGACAGGGGTGGCTCCTGCGTGGGACAGTGGCACCGTGGCCAGGCTGGGAGGGCTGTGCCTGTGCAGGTTCTGCCCAAGGGCTGTGGCTGTG